GAACATAAAAACTTAGCAAAATCTAGATTGGTTGACCCGAAATAAGATAAGAAATCTAGATAATAGTTCAGCCGTAGATAGCACTACATGCAGTCACACACAACCATACAATAGGGGGATGGGAGAGGATGACAGTTTTGAAATCTAATGTCACAGGGTGTAGGGAGAGATTGATAACAGAAGCTTTGTTTGTCGAATCAACTGCAAATACGTGCGTGTAATAGGAATGATTGAACACCTGTCTAGCCGGATATCTGGAAAATTCTACTACCCATACGACAAATAGGAGAGAACAAAGAAAACTATAAAACTCAAGTGTCAAAGTCGTGTGATTACAATTGATATGATTATGAACAATAAATTTTGTTCAAAACGTCATCCAGTAAATAATACTACTGTTTATTCACTGTGTGATACATCTAATAAACAAACTAATATGGAATTAGGTATAAAATATTTACTTTCTGTTTTTTGCTTTTTTAACTGTAAACTGAATTAGTGGTGTACTCTTTTCGATAGATCTGATGACGGTGAGTTTGAATACTGAATTGAGTATATGCATAAGATAAACCTGTGGGTCAGCTACTCTCGCAGTTTCATTTATTCTCAGATTTGATTCTGAAAATAGCAGTAACTGAAGGATATCGACATAACTACAATACAATTATTTTCAGTCGAGGTGTTTAAGCTGTCAGAAGATGATGGTTATACAACCTAGCTCTTTTCTTCTTTTCGAATAATGCGCGGTGCTATACACTACTGATTGAATGTTGTGAGTAGTTGACTGCCACCACCAACATGAACCCAGAGTGCTTGCTAGCCAGATGGGGGAGTTTTTTAAACACTGAATGGCTGCTTCGCTCGTTCAGAGCCGAGCTCATCAGTGGTATATCCGGTTTGGGCCACCCGAATTATGGTCAGCTATTCCAGCGACTCCATTATTTCTTTTTTTTCTGATTTTTTTATTCCTTATACCTAATGCCGAGCCTCCTGTCTTTACCAGTCTTATTACTGGCTAGGCAAGGTGAAGGAGTGCGTCGACCGGGGATCGAACCCCAGACCACATGGAGCAGGATTGGCGGGAATCCTACCGCTGTACCACTGATGTACACTAAGTATAGCATATTATAATCTTTTAACCTAATCATTATACATATGTCCTTAATTTTCCTCCTTTGTCTTCTTTGTAGTTCCTTCTTTTTTGTCTAAAAATGACTATCTCTAACTGGAATGTGTACTTTTGATGAACAAGGCCTACTTTGAGATGAATAGTTTTCTCATGGAGCATTTATAGTCATTCTGGACGACATAATTAAATTCACACAAGTAGCAGTAGTAGTATTAACAGTGACCTTAAATGGGATAAACAGTGTAGTGACTGATAGTTTCTTATCATTGATTTAGGAGGATGGTCGACTTTCTGCAATGCGGATTCAAAGAAGGTAAAAGACAAGCTGATTAATTTGAATGTAGTGACTGAACAGCGACAAATATCCTTGTTATATATGCTAGTCATACTGTAACAGCAGAAGACAAGGGCCAGGCAACAGATCGTTTATTGAGGAAATCAACAGATATTTATTTTTATGTACATTATTACTCGCTATTATTAGCAGAGAAACAGCGTCTTCTGATTGGTTGTCTTCTCACTGAAGGTTATTCTGTCGTCTCTCTGTGGCCGTTTCTTTGATGGTCATACCATATATCTGTAAACCGTATCTGCCCACGCAAAGTCTGTTGTGATTGGTTGTTGAGTTCCTCAGGGTTAGGCTTTGTTCTTTTTTTTATTCGGTGACCATCATTTGGGAAGTAAACAATGACGTAAATTGCTGCCTATCAATTTTGGCTAGCAGACAGCTCTCACCACAATACCATCTCGTACTTCTATTCTGCACGGGATTATACGAACAATTGAATGACTAGTCTTTTTGTAAACCAGACTGTGTCTATCTGTCACTACTTTTGGTGTTATTGTTTTGATAAATCTTCATCTACTCTATGATAGGAACTACTTTGGAGTCGACGTATCTTTCATAGATGTTCTGACTGAATAATTTGTTAATGTTCTTGTTTTCCATGTTATGTATATTAGATGAGAAACCAAAAAAATGCAATAACTGTGGTGCAACATTCACATCCATCGAGGAATGGCAATCTCATGTATCAACGTGTCATGATGATGATGATAATGGCGGTAAGAAACTTTACCTCCTTTGTTGTTGTTTTTTTTTCAACTTTTCATCTTATATACAGAAGCTTATGAAGCTTATAAACAAGTCCCACGTAGTGGGTACTAGGAAGAAGATTTTGTACGTTTTGAGTTGTTTTTTTTTCACAACAGTAACGAATCTAATCTTCCTTGTGAAATTCAAATCTGTGTCACTCCTCACTGCCAAAATTACTGGTCTTCATTTCATATTAATTTGTTTATTAGATATACCACACTCACAGTGAAAAAATAATACACTGTTAGTTGGATCACGAGGTTTCAAACACAGTTGAATAAGATAAGAAGTCTAGAGAATAGTTCAATCGTAGTAGCGCTGCATGCAATTTACAGACAACCATACAATAGGATGGGACAGTTCTTTTGTTAAATCTAAGGTAACAAGGTGGAGCGAGAGGTTGATAACAGTGGAAGCTTTATTTATCGAATCAATCAGCTGAAAATGCGTGTAATAGGCAGGATTTAACACCCGCCCATCCGTATATCTGGGAAATTCTACTATCCCTACAATGAAGAGGAGAGATTAAAGTAAACTATAAAACTGAATTTTTGACGTTGTGCGGATAAACTTGATGATATGATTATGAACAATATGATAGATTGCGTTGGAAACCTTGTCATCCAGTGAATAGTAATACTGTTTCATTGTGTGTGATATATGTAATATACAAATCAATAGGGAATTACATACACACACTACCACAGTGCCCAAGTTTTACACATTTATTAATGTATGTATACATATTTTTCTTTCTTCGATGAGTACATGAAAAAATTGATAGATGTTACTCAACTATGACATATATGATATGCTTGAAAGCTTTGGATTGTTGGCTTCAACTGACCATTCTTCAGACTGGACATAAAACAGTCTACAAGGAGACAGGACCCAAGGGATAGTACCCATTACAATACCACCCTTCTGTCTGTAGATTGTTTCATTGGAAGTAAACTGTACATTCAATGTACACCTCAAAAGTAGTTCTTTTAGTCAGATCTGTAGTGGGTATCCCTATATTCAATTTGTTGTCTTCAATATATATTTGCATATAAAACAAATGGTTTCTGTCAGTGGAACGTTCAATCTGTTATCGACCTCGTGAGTTGATTAGTCGTCTGACAGTAGTAGCTAATCTAACAGTGTCGCCTAAGTACTGGTCGAAATCTGTCGACTATGTGTGTGTGTGTGTGTACAAATTATGCTAAGCACAGAATCCATATTGCGGGCTTCCTTCAGTCTAATGACGAACTTGCAGTCAAATAAAAAAAGACAGTGAAAGTTCGTTTAGCGTATTTTTCAAAAAATAAATTTATAGGAAGGCAGACGTCAGGTATGGAAATGACTGAAGATTTCTTTAGAGGTTACAAGTTTTGTGTATTAGTCACTAGTCGTTATAAAAAAAAAACAATATGTTACACCTAAATGGAAAATATTGATCCACTGTCGTTTAGACATCAAAGATACATGCACATCTATTTCATATCGCTGGTCGAAAGTGTAGTAGTTTTCTTGTTTGATCACGAATGGATGTCATTTAAAGAACTACTGAAAACAACGCATTACTAAACGGCTGTTTCGTCCTAGTTTGGGACTCTTCAAGAGTAGGTAACCACTGGGTTTTGGACACAAACTCTTCCAGTTACAAGGTAAGTTTTTAGACTATTCAGCCGATTTAGCCCGATCCAACGGTCAGCCTATGAATTCCAACTTCTCCGAATTCGTCGAATATGTGGATAATATAGTCCTCCCTCCTAGGTGAACACGCTGACAAAATACAACAGAGTATTTTTAAAAATTTGAGCAGAAATCTGCGAATGTTTGGCATGTGATTCACTCCTGTCAAATGTAAAATGATGCTAAAGGATTGAACTATATTGACTCTCAGCTTAAAGATAGGCAGGAGTAAGTGATGGCTGAGCGTGTTGACCACTTCACTTCTTCGGAAGTTGCATCAACCAGCGTCAATGGATTGATCGCCGACGAAGTCTCACCACGGATGCAGGAGACTTGTTTTGCATTGTCCAACTAACGCCATTTCGGCCTACTTAGACGTGATAAGCGGCTGGCTATTGACCAAAAGGCGGATGTATTGCTCATTAGTCCACTCTGTTCTCCTTTTATGGCTGTGAATGAGACGTGGTCGTTGAATGTGGAAAACATGAAAAGGTTGGCTAGCTGTTTATCTCCCATGTGTGTTAGGTGGTATAATCGGGTGAGCAATATTGAGGTTAGGCTTTGGTCGAGGGCTAGGTAGGAGGGAGGAGAAATCAATCGACGAGGTTGTGAAGCAGTTACATCGATTGAATGAGATGGTCACGACATGTGTTACGCATGCTTGTCTAGCCATCTCCTTCCTCGACGACGGGCAGTGTCAGCTGACTGACATAGGATTGTTCAGGTTAGAAAAGAGTTGCTAGTGGTGGTCAAACGAAAACATGGCTTCATCAGTCAATGAAATTCATAACAGTTAGTTTGAGCCAGCCAGGCAGCCACGTAGGTAGGTGTAGACTGCCTGACTAACTGGTTGGGTGTTCGGGATGCTAATAATCCATAGCAGTAGACTGTTTTGTTTCTGGGTTGTACATACACGATATTTTTTCTCGTCTTCAATAGATTACATCATATATATATTATGTCTGTTTTTTATGTTGAATACTGTAGTCCATATCTGTGAAATTTGTGGTGATCGTTTCAATTCCCAGGCTGTATTAAAAACGCATAAAAGGACAGCACATCAAAGTGAGTAATTCACCTTTCCTTTTTAGTGTCTGATTTTTTTTGGGGGGGGCGAGGAGGGGATCGGTTAGTGTTTCAGATTACTCGGGAAAGAAACACTAGAAATGAATAGCAAAAAACAAAATAGAGCTATTCAATGAATAGTTTAACTGTCAAATATTCCCATATTACCTTATTAATCCAATACACGTTGTTATTTGTGTAGCTATGATATGGATCACACTTTTTAGCCTAATGATTATTGTAATCTGATCGCGTGTTCTTTTATTCCTTCACGTTCCCCAGTGGAACATAGGGGTTCAAACTAGAGGCTTGAAGTTTCTGTAGCAGTGTAATTTTTACAAGATGGGGTTGCTAGCGAGCGTCATGCCCAACCTTTCCTCTTCACCAGCTTTTAGTTCTGGCTTAGCGAGGTAAAGGAGTACGTCGGCCGGGGATCGAACCCCGGACCATGTGCATGGTCGGCGAGCGTCCTAACCGCTATACCACCGACGCTCAGATCACATGTAATGTTGTGTTTTTTGATTTCTCCACGTGAAATAACACACACACCAATCACAGCTTTCCTAGACCTCTCTAAGCAAGCACACTCATCCTTCATTATTCTTGTTTTGTTGTTATATAAGCAGGTATTTGTTTTCCTTCTCTCATATTTCAGTATACAATACGTGCGATATAAGTAAGATGAGAAAAGGGATCACAGGTAAAATATTCTTTGAAACAATTAGTTCCCTTTATGAATTTAGAGAGATAAAGCAATATGAAGACGTAATTTGTCTGAATCAGTAGTGTTGTAATGTATTTGCGCGCACAACACATTTCGAACAAGTTGATCACACAAACACACGGACTTATCATAGGAATAAATATGAAATTAATAAAGAGTTAATAGGTGAGAAAATAAACTTAGGTTAACTTAAAAAGTTTACCTTGAAGGTCAAAATAACAATATGAAGATCACTGAACCGAATAACAGAGGTAATAGTACATCTACCCTGGCTGGTATCAAAACAAAGTTTACCAAGGAAGGTTTGGTGTGATGACGAATTGTCGCTTTGATCGTATAAAGGTGATTTAAACTCTCTGATCGCCAACTAGGGCTTCCACAAACTTAAGGATACTTCCCAAAACACATTTTATAGATAGGTTTAAAAGATGTGTAAACGTTAATTTTATGTCCTGTCTCTATAATATGTTTCGCAATAGAGGAGCTAGGTCTCCTGTTCTCACCATTAATGGGTTCTGAAGATTCTATTTGCTCCTGGTGCCATTTTGGGAATATGCTCTGAAGCCAACCTATACTTGCAGAGGACGTTGATTCCTCCCTATGTTTGTTTGTGTGTTCACACGTACATTCAAATTGGTAAATACAGTGAGATGTGACATCACTTTTCGCATGTTCAAAGGGCTTAGATAGATATATTGGCTACACATTCTCAATTATTATGATATTAGCTGTATAAAAAGTCCTTTCAACAGCAGTGTTCAATCTTTGTCGAGTTAGTCAGCTGCTGCTATGGTCACCCATATACGATAGCTTGATATATGCGTCTATCTTAGGGGCGAGTTGAAGAATGGGTCTTGGTGTTCTGACCACTCTATATCTCCGTAAGAAATTGTCTGGTTAAGTGATTTTCATTGTTATTTTGACCTTTAGTATGCTCTTTTAACTTGACCTAAGTCTATTTTCCCACCACTTAACTCTCTTTGTGTGTGTGTGATCAGATTGTTTGAAATGTGTTGTGCACGCAAAATACATTACAACACGATTCAGACAAATTACGTCTTCTTATTGTTTTATCTAATATTCTTTGGTAATTCAATACATACAGATAAGTCACGAATCAACATCAAGTTTGCATGAATTGCACCGGTGTTTTTTCTAACTGGAAAGGCCCAAAGCTTTAGCAATGCAAAGAAGACAAAAGCGTATTGCCTTTGGCCGTTTATTTTTCAATTTGTTGATTACTTTGAAGGAGTAGGCGTTTGCTGAGATGGAATGACCAGTACTGACTTGGTGGTGGTGTTATAGATATGTGCACCGAAGCTGTATATAATTTCATTAATTTCATTCACACTTGTCAATTTGATAACTATTCGTTTCACTGATATTTTCCTTTTTGTCTTCTTTTTTCATCTTAGAAATTCGAACATATGATTGTCAACAATGCGGTCAAAATTTTCTTCGTCTTAACAGTTTCAAGTATCATTGTTGCATTGAAAGTAAGCAATTAAAATTGCTACTATTAAATTTACTATAATTTGTTGGAGGACTTCATTATGAACTGACATCAGTTAGAGGACCATTGGAAAATCATATGAGAGTACTGGATAGCCAGCTGTTTCGTCAGCCTAGTTTCGGACTCTTCACCACTCCTCACTCACCACACTGTATTCGAACGCAGCACCTTCTAGTTACAATACCAGTGAGCTCGTAGACCATTCATCAGCCACCGGGACCCGATCCAATGGCCAGCCAGTCCATGAACTCTATCTTCTGCCAGTTGATGAGTTACTGCCTCCCCTTCAACCTGCTGTACCCTACTGGTCACGGTTTCCCAGTTTTTCCAATGGTTCTCTAACTGATATCAGCTCATGATGAAATCCTCCAACTAATCAAACAAAATCCCTACAAAATCAATACTTGAAAACTACTATAATTTGTCTAAATTACGCCAAAAATGTTTCTTTTTCAGATAGCATGATTCTAATTTTGAGAGTTGTAGCTCAAGTTTTAAATTATGGTAGTTACATATTCTCTTTCACTTGCTTGATATCAGTGCCCCACTACTCTTATTTGGCTTTGTTCAACTTATTATTGAATTCAGTTTAAATTTTCCCCTTGATTGATTGGACCGAAGTATTCAGCCTCTGTTGAACATGTTGGCTGCTTGTGCGGATGCTTCGACGATGTCTGAGGATTTAAATTGAAGTAATTTTGTGTATGGTAGACTATTAGTGGAATCCACTAGGATGCGCATTTCATCCTTTTATAGACTCGTCAACTGGATGCACCTGCATTCACCAGTGAATAATAGGTGGTGGTTGTGTTCCCACTGGGGCTCCCTACTGCAGTACCCCCACCGTTTCAAACATCGAAGTATTGTCCACTTAGACCACGAGAGCCACTCCTGATGCAATAGACTGAACACTTCGATGCAGTCAATCGACATGAATGTCCAAATTGAATTAAATACCCGTTGCACAAGAGGGATGGCTCTTATAGCCCAAGCAGTCGATTTGATTACGCTTTGGCGTTTGAAACGATGAGTGCTGGGTTCGAGGCTCACTTGGAACACCATCAATTACTAGGGATTGCAGATACATCCAGATAAGGAGTCCTAAATAGGACGAAATGCTCATCCTCGTGGATTCCACTACAAGTCACCATCTGCAAAAACTACTTGGTTCAACTTTTTTCTGCAATCTAATGGGTATTGTGCGTACTTAAGTGATAGAATTCAATTGGTACCAGAAGATAGCCATACGATAATGTTTACTGCGTAATTCCTACAACGTTGCGGCTAATCCCTACTGATGATTGTCAATATGCAGGAGGCCTAGTATCAATAGTTTCTTGCGATTACCTCAACCCATCTAATAATTAGTGTCTACTTTTCCTATGCTTTCTTGAAATCTGACCTGCCAAGTCCTTGGTACCACAGTTATATGAAGTCATTAACTCGTTATTTACTTTATTTTTTTACTTACTAGTAGTCTGATTTTTTTTATAAAAAAATCACAGTATTAGCTAATGCTATTTCGATTAGTTCACTGCGTCTATTTTTTGTGCCAAACAGTGTGAGAGTGTAAGTTGATGAATTAATTTTGACGCTTACCATATCCCAACTTCAGGACGAAATACTCGGCGAACAGACTTTTCAATCGTAAATATATCGTTTTTAAAAAGTTATATCCGGCGAGGGAATGCAATCATCGTGAATACATGAAATAATAATAGTGGTATGAAAGGCAATTAAAACTAAAATGTTTGTGATTATAATCATAGTTTAATGTCAAGTAGCAAAACAATTAATGTCATGTATAAAATAATACACAAGGTGAATAGATTTTGGAAAGGGATACATAATTATAGGATTAGTAGGCGAATATAGAATGTTACATAACATGGTGTGAAATTTAATAAGATAGAATTCAATATTGTAAAATATTTTTGGATTTAGAATGACAAGTGGGATAAGTGGAAACAATTCAGAGTGAGAATAGTAATAATAATAATAACGGTAATAATAATCGTAGTAACGAGGGAAGGGTCCCCAGATTAACTTCATAAACAAAATGAATAAATGTCTATCCCTCTACGGCCAAGGCAGAAATACGGATTGTACATACTGCTTTTGTTCACAAAGATCCAGCTGGCTTAAATTCGTGAATGGCCAAGGCCTCAACTGCCTTTAAAAGTCTATAACGTAGAAAAAGCGGGAAGTTTGCATTGATTCGGCAGATGATCTTAAAATCATGGTCAGAGTTGGTGGAGTGACAGGAGTCGATCAGGTGTTCTAGAATAGAGCTTCAAACACACTTCCTTTCTCCCTTGTAAACCATGCTGCTGGAATATTTTCTCGTATCCGTGTGGAAAGCGTCCTCTGGCTACAACCAACGTACCGTGTTCCACAAGAGCAGGTGAACTGATACATGCACATGGAGGCGGCCAGATGGGGAGCTTATCTTTTACAGAGATGGAGAACAACTTGTGGGTGGTGAACGTCATTTGTAATTTTGCTGCAAAGAACGTCTTACTGACTGATTTAGAGAGACGGTTTTTGAGCATATCTGAAGCTTTATATGTCCAAACCAAGTTTACTTTTAATAGTTTGAAAAAATTTAGGCATTAATTTAAAACAAGCAACAAAGGTTGATGAAGCAGGTTGATTTAATCAATTCATCAAATTCCGGTAGAACTTCTCTTCAGTTGATTACTCTACATACACGGATATATGCAAACTATTGAAATTACATTGGGAGATATAAGACTGCTACGTAAACAAACTACATTGAATTAGTCGCGCGGAAAGACAGGTGAGAATGTTTTCCAGGTCATGTTCAAATAGATAATGGGAGAGGGAGTATGCGAGAGATTAAAATGAAGATGAAATGCATTACGCTTCAATTACATCACTTAGATAAACAATTAGACAATATATCATGTCTCTGTGTACAAGAAAAGGTAATACGTTTAACTGGTTATCCTACCTATTATTATTAATATTATTATTGATTCTAAATCGGTAGGATTGTCTTAACTCACTTCAACACTATTATTATTATTATTATAATTATTATTGTTATAACTAATAATGCTGATATTACTATGTTTGCAATTCTTGTTATATTCTATAATGCCTATTTTTTTATCTAAGTAATGTAATTGAGGCGTAAGGCATTTTATCTTAATTCTAATCTCTCTCATACTCCCTCTCCCATTATCTATTTGAACATGACCTCAAGAAAACATTCCCACCTGTCTTTCTGCATGACTAATTCAATGTAGTTTATTTGCTTATCAGTCTCATATCTCCCAATGTAATTTCAAAAGTATATATATATATATATATATATCCGTGTATGTAGAGTATTCAGCGTAAGATGATTCTACCGAAATTTGATGAATTCATTAAACCATCCTGCTTTATTAACCTTTGTTGTTTGTTTTAAATTGCGTATATGATATTCATTATAATAAAGGTTTTTTGTATTTCCCAATGAATGAAAAACAAAACGACATTATTTTTTACTGACTGGTTTTCTTTGGAACTGAGTCGGTGACCAGTTTGGACTGCTTATCTTACGTGTTACTGTCAATAAACCGTTTTCTGCGAGCATTGCTTATAGGAAGGGTCAAGTTCTGAGTCAACGCAATCCTATAATTGTGCACCCATTTCCAACATCTATACACCTCATGAATTATTCTATACATGACATTAATTGTTTTGCTACTTGACATTTAACTATGATTATGATCAGAAATATTCTAATTGCATTTCATATTACTATTATTATTTCATGTATTCACACTTCTGACCCAATTCCCTCACCGGATATAATTTCTTAAAAACCATATACATACGATTGTACAGCTTGATAATAAATTCGTTGTTGGCGAGAGTCTCTTCGCTGGATATTGTGTTCTTAATGCTACAATAGGAATTATCAAATTATATCTCAACTTAACAACCACTTGTGATTCTGTGAAGTTCGTAGTAAGTCACACATATTGTGTGCGGGTCAGTGATACTACCCATCTACCCAAACTTCGGTAAAGTAGGTAAAGCAGGACTGCTGGAGCCTGTGACTCACTGATTGCAAATCAAACGCCTGAACCATTGAGCCAGCCAAACACAATTCCACCTTACCAAATGTATTCATTAGAGAAGGTTTAGTTTCTCTCTCTCACGAAATTCAAACTTTAATTTCTGTCATCCTGTCATGTAAGTTGATGATGCTACAGCAGGATTAATCTCCAGGGACAAGTGGTGATTAAATTTATCGAGACATCACAGCTAAAAGTAAATAGTATTGTAACAGCAGAAGACAAGGGCCAGGCAACAGATCGTTTATTAAGGAAAATCAACAAATTTATAGATTTTAATATACATTATTGTAGATTATTGTTAGTAGAAAATACAGTCTTTTGATTGGTTGTTTCTCACAGAAAGTTAACCTTGCATCTCTTTGTGGCTGTGTCAGATCCTCTATATGCTAATTGTACCCGTCTACGCAAAGCCTTTGTTCTCATTATCTCACCACCAATATTGGGGACATAAACATTGACGTCAATTACTGTCTACCAACTTTGGCTAGCAGCCAGCTCTCACCATAGTATGAATAGGGTATACTTATACGTGTTTCGCTTTAATTTCTCGTACTGTTCCTATTCATCATATGGAGATTAAACGTGTAACGGTCTGGGTGAGAAAGTTAATTTTTGTGATCAATCATCACTTGATGAGGTGACGTGCTCGCTATTCAGTCTTTGTTTTCCCATTTTTCTTCCTGTATACACAGTGTATATAGATCTTTGTTGTTTGCAATTCCTTGATTTACTAATTTTCAGGTAAACCTGATGATGAAAAGAAAACTGAAGGCAACGAGCAGTCATCAAAAGCTTCAACAGAAACTGCCACATCTCAATCTTCAATGAATCAAACTAAAAACCCGGTGATGAATAATGTTCCTACACCGCCGCCTCCTTTATTAGGTGTATCACAGAATACAAATCTAGCCGCTATAGCAATGCTTTCAGCTGTTGTCACTAGTTTTGGCCTACCGGTACCATGTTTACCGTCGCATTCTGATGGTAAAAATCAATCCAAACAAAATGGTAAGTTGGATCATACGAAATCAAGCTTAGTATTCTTTGGTGGTGGTGGTGGTGGGATGGGGTTTTGTGTGCACCAATCACATTCCCTTATTCCTTCAACCAATCATCGTCTGACTGATGGTTATATGTTTTAAAGAAATATCAGCAACTTTAATATTTGAAGATTTAAGTACTTTGAAATTGTGGATTAGGATCTATAGTGATTCAAAATTATTAGCTTGAAACAGGTGTTCTTATTCCTTCCACAATGGTCAAGTGAATATATTTCCGAGAATTTTATTTCACCTCATTAATTTTATCGATCTAATTCTGTTATTTCTCTAATTTCCCGGGATATTTTTTGGTATTGATGTGTGTTTTACATAAGTTTCATCCTATATACATTCATGATAACGTTGCACTAAAGTTTGTGTACTAGTCGACGTGAGTTCCCAGCTGAACAGACATTGTCTAAAAAATTTTGTTGTTTGTTGCAAAATTTTCAATGAAGTATGGTGCAAATGAGTAGTTGCATATTACACATATCAAGCAGCAGTGCTTGCTAGCAAGGTCGAGGTGATCTAAGCACCGAACAGCCTTTCCGGTGTGGTGACAGCTGTCTGCTAGCCAAAATTGGTAGACACCAATTTACGTCAATGTTTACGTCCCAAATCTTGGTCATGAGAAAACAACAAGAACAAAGACTAACCCAACAGCCAATCACGTCAGACTTAGCGTGGGTGGATGTGAATCGCAGATATATGGTCTGACCTTCAAAGAAATGGCCACAAAGAGATGACAGATTAACTTCCAGTGAGAAAACGACCAATCAGAAGACACTGTTTCTCTTCTATTAATAACGAATAATAACGTGCATAACAATATATAAATATCTGTTGATTTCCTCAGTAAACAATCTGTTGCCTGACCCTTGTCTCCTGTTGTTACACCAGTCGTTCAGGGTCGAGCTTGTCAAAAGTGTACCTAGTTTGACTTAACTCGAAGAGCCTAATCAGTCCAAACCAACCGAATTCAGTCCCAATCGAGCGAAACGGTCGTTCAGTATTTACACTACCTCTGTCTGGCTAGCAAGCATTTCTGGTTGATGTAAGTCGTATCCAACTACACATTTCAACCAATCAGTGGTGTATGTAGCTTTGTGCAAATTCGCTCGCTTTCCTGATTACCATTGTAACAACAGAAGACAAGGGCCAGGCAACAGATCGTTTATTATGGAAATCAACACATATTTATATATTTTCATGTACGTTATTATAGATAAGTTAAGCAAACAAACACAGTCTTCTGATTGGTGGTTTCTCGCTGAACGTTAATCTTTCATCTCTTTGTGGCCGTTTCTTGAAATTCAGATTTATCTATCTGCAAATTGAATCCGCCTACGCAAAGTCCGCAGTGATTGGTTGTTGAGTTAGTCTTTGTTCTTGTTCTTTTCTCATGACCAATATTTGGGACATAAATTGCTGTCTACCAATTTTGGCTAGCAGCCAGCCCTCACCACGCCATTCATAATATCAGAAACCTACGGTGAAATTTAACCACTTGAACTGTGTATATTGCCAATCGCTAACCAATATACAAATTGTGACAATATGGTACCATAATTTTCTCTACTGTAGTAAACTTAAATGTCAACAATTTTATTTGTGCGGTTATTAATAACTAGAGGCATACAAACAGATAGTTATCATAACTTATGCTATTTTTAGTGTTTCTGCTCACTAAAGAAGCATTGTAATCGTATATTTTTGGACTTTTAGTGCCTGTTGTACAACCGTCGACAATTCCACCTCCTTTGCTTGGATTTACGCAAGCAGTCAATCCAACTAGTGCATCCAGTTCTTCTAGTTTACCACTTCCTAATTCGTTACTAAACAGTCTATCGACAACACTACCACCACCACCACTTGCAACGTCGTCGGCTTCTCCTACGCCTGGTACTGTCGTATCCAGTGATAATCGAAAGTTGTTTATCAATCAAGCTTTAGCTGTTTTAAATGCTTTCGCCTCCTCGGCTAATAATAGCAATATTGATTTTTCTAATTTTAACAAATCTGGTGCCAGTAGTCAATTGTCGAATACAACTACGAAGTTAGTTAAACCTGAACCAATAACTAACGGTACCAATGAGATAAATTCATCAATATCAAGTTAGTTGTAAAGAGGTAGGTCTAGTTGTTGTTTTTTTTGTTTTCCTATTGATTGACTAATACTTTCATGTAAAATTATTATTATTGTTGTTCCCTTGGGTTCCTAGTGGAACATAGGGCTTCAACTACACGTCTCCACTTTCTTCTGTCTTCTGCTGTACTTTTCACCTGCATTGATGTTGTTCCATACTGTTTCAGCTCCTCTTCACACGATCTCCTCCATCCCACTCGCCGCTTCCCTTTCAGGTTCCACTCGAGCACTGGCCTGATGCGCGATGTCACCCAGCGGCCTCCTCAGCCAGTGAGTGTCCAATCCATCTCCACTTTCTCCTGCATATTTGTTGTTTGGCGATTGGTTCTTGTTTCGTTTGTTCCCATAGTTCCTTGTTGGTGATTCTTTTCGGCCATCTGATCTTCAGTATAGAACGAAGACAGTTGTTGATAGTGGTCTGCAACCTGTTGGAAATATTCTTTGTGAACTGCTGCCAAGTTTCTGATCCGTATAGAAGACCTGACTTGACATTTGTATTGAAAATCCGAATTTTGTTGTTGATGCTGAGTGACGAAGATTTCCAGATGGGTTTCAGGTTGATGAATGTTTTTCTCGCCTTCCCGATTCTCGCTCGATTTGACATCCTCGTCCGTTCCTCGTGTAGTTGAGACAATGCTCCCTAGATATGTGAATGAAGTAACCTCTTTCAAATCCCTCCCGTTGATGGTGATTGGCGCTGGATGTTGCTGCTGCTGTTGTTGTTGGTTGGTTATTTTCATAACCTCCGTCTTGTCTATGTTCACCTGGAGTCCTGTCGTTGCTGCTTCTTCGACGAGTTTGTCGGTTTTCGCTTGTAAACCTTCGATTTTGTGTGACATCAAACATAAATCATCCACGCGCGAAATCCAGGTCTTCTAGATTCTTCACCTCGGTCCAGGATATTCCTGTCTTCTCGTTTCCTACTGTCCGACGCATAATCCAGTCCACCACAATTAGGAATATCATTGGTGATAATAAGCACCCTTGTCTGACTCCTGTGTCTACTGCAAACGCCTCGCTGAGTTTTCCGTTTTGGATCAATTGACATGTGCCGTTGTCGTACAGCTGTTGAATAAGGTTGATGAATATTTGGGGTAGGCCGTAGTACTTGAGCAGTTTCCACGCATGATTCTTCCATGATGTCACGTAGTGTTTCCTGCTCATGTAAAATTAGTCGTATGATTTGGGGATTCTATTAACCTCTATTTGAATCACTCTGAATGAAGCTTCTTCTATGCATGAATGTCTTCATCATACTCCAATAAAGGTTTTTAGTGTGAGTGTGAGTACTCTTATCTCTCACTTATCCAACGAAAGACATTTTTGCGTCTTATTCATTGGCCGCTAAAGGATGTTATTTGTAGTCATTTAGATTAAAAAAACATGTATAGGATGTGGTTGGGTGTAACTCCTATTGATATTCTAATGTTAGACTGGGAGTCATTTTTATCACATGTGAGAAACAGGTATCCTCTGTAGTGAGTGCATTTATACAGTTTTTAAGCATTCTTTCATTCATAAATACATGTACTCTTCACTCCAAAATAGCGTCATTCATGCGGATTGGTGCATTCAAGGTGGTTCTCTGATTGGTAGTTACTGGTGCTTAAAGTCTAATTGACGTACTACGCCTATCTTGATGAACTTTGTGTCATTATTATTATTATTTAAAACAGTTAGTCCCTTTTATAAATTTTGATAGCATTATTAGAAGACGGAGATTATCTGAAGAATGTGATGTATTTGCGCTATACATTTCGAACAATCTGATCACACATTTACTTGTCAAGTCAATATATATGAAAATGTTAAATTAAACAAGGTGACAAAAAAAAAGAATTAAGAATAATTAACACAAACGTTTGGTAATCCAATCAAATAAGGATTACCAAGGTAGGTTAAGAGTAATAACAAACTGTTTTTGAATACACAAGGGGGGCTTAAGTTTATGAATGGCTATAGCCTCAGCGTATTTCAGTTAACGTCCTTGACCGTTTTTATAGATGACATTAAGCCCCCCTTGTGTATTCAAAACAGTTTGTTATTACTCTTAACCTACCTTGGTAATCCTTATTTGATTGGATTACCAAACGTTTGTGTTAATTATTCTTAATTCTTTTTTTTTGTCACCTTGTTTAATTTAACATTTTCATATATATTGACTTGACAAGTAAATGTGTGATCAGATTGTTCGAAATGTATAGCGCAAATACATCACATTCTTCAGATAATCTCCGTCTTCTAATAATGCCATCAAAATTATTATTATGTTCAGCTATGTGAATACTTAATACAGGTTAACTCTTCTAGATTGAATTCTTCCATCTTTCTTTTTTCATAGATATATATACAAGAGTAACAGTGAGAAAATTTTTTTTCTATTGAAGAGTCCAAGAAATTATTACCGCGTCGTGATGTGCTTTATTTCAAGTGATGGTCTTATTAAATCTAATTTACTCATCCGGTTGATTTAATTTGGTGTTGCTCACTTATAATTATTATTGACAGATTTATTATCATTTTCTATTGTACAAATTACCTTTTGTGTTTGCGTGTTTGTGCTTGTGTCTATGTGTACATGATGTGAATAGGAAATAAAAATCAAAAATAAATATATGCATATAAAATCAGATAAATGATAATATCTCAAGATGTTTTCTTCTCTTCTCTTCTCTTGGAAAATGTTCAAAGGAATATGTACAATTAAAAGTGTGTAACACAGTCATTGATTGACATTAGTGAAATTGAATGTGCCCTTGGTATTGTGTTGGTTTGCAGGGGAGGGGGAGGATGATTTGATAGAGATTTCAACTTAGATGATGATTAACTGACTTCAGTTAGAGGAACTATTGACAATCAGAGAGTTACTGGTGTGTGTGTGTGTGAGGAATCATGGGTGCGTACTGCTGGAGAGTCCCGAGATAAAGTGTCCCAGCTGTCTCCTTGAAAAAAAAACTTTTAATTGAGCTACTACTATGTTGCATCAAAAGAAACTGTTCACATTTAAATATTAAATGTTCATTAGTTGAAGGTATTTTGTAATTCATTCACATTAATAAAGCGTACTTTTTCGGGTCATAAGTGTCCAACAATCATTATATTTCTTGACCTAAAGGCGGCATTCGATTCTGTCGACCGAGAGGTTCTCTGGCGATGGATGCTTGGCTGTAAAGGGAATGCCGATAAATAAATAAATACATTGCACTGATTAAGGCACTCTACTCGTTCTCATGCAGCCAGGTAAGGGCTTACGGCGAGTTGTCATCTGAAGTGGTGACGACTAGTGGCATCCGTCAAGGATGCCCATTATCCCCATTCCTATTCAACTTCATCGTAGATGTACTAATGGACTTAACCCTAACACACTTCAGCGACTCAGGGAATAATCTCGTCGTCTAGAATATGAGGACGATATAGTCCTTCTAGGAGAGGACGCTGACAAAATGCAGAGTCTACTGAACACCTTGAGCAACAATCTTCGTATGTTTGGCATGCGATTCGCCCCTGTAAAATGTAAGATGATGCTGCAGGATTGGACTACACCGACCCGTAGATTAGAAATAGAAGGTGAAGTGGTAGAGCACGTTGACTACTTCACTTACTTGGGAAGTATCATCAGCCAACGCCAAGGGGTTGATCTCCGACGAATACAGGGGGCTAGTTTCACATATGCCAGTTTACGTCGTCTCTGGCGTAGACGTGATATCCGACTATCGACCAAAGGGCGTGTGTACTGCTCATCAGTCCGCTCCGTCGTCCTTCATGGCTGTGAGACCTGGCCATTGAGAGCAGAAGACATGAAAAGATTATCTGTGTTCGATCATAGGTGTCTGCGTTCTATCTCCCGCGTGAAGTGGTATAATAAGGTGAGCATTATTGAGATTAGCCTCGGTCGAATACTAGGTAAGGAGGGAGGGGAAATCAGTCGACGAGACTGTCAAATTACATCGACTGAGATGGTTAGGACATGTGTTACGTATGCCTAGCGATCGCCTTTCTCGATGGGCAATGTTAGCTGATATAGGGTCAGGCTGGAAAAGAGCTAGCGGCGGTCAAACGAAAACATGGCACCAGTCAATGAAATCTACAACAGTTAGTCTAAGCCAGTGTCGTATGAAGGTGTAGACTGGCTTCCTAGTTGGGGTCCTCGGGACGGTAAAAACCAATGGTTGGAAACAATTGGTGACATGGCTCAAAATCGTCGTTCTCAATGGCTGGTGTAAATGCATCCACTCCTTGTGACTTATGATTTCCAATGAAACTGTTTTGTTCTTCGTTATTACTATTTCTTTGTCTCACACCTCTGTTTACTGTCATCTTTGCGCATTTCTCCCACTTCCTTCTCTTCCTTTGTGGGCTAAAAAGAGGGAGTGTGGCGACTTGAACTGTTGCACATATGTGCAAAGTTCTATGTCGAAAACAGACCGACATAAGTGTGAAGAAATATCTTTGAGAAAAGACACTTGCACAGATAAACCTCATTTCGTTATTTGAGTAACTATAGGTAGCAGTGGAATTTAGGATGCTCATCTCTTTCTTTCTTGTACTCGTTAGCTAATAATATTTTCTCTATTCATAAAAATGTATAGGGTATTACTGTTATGTATACGTAATTATCTTAAAATACTACATTTATCTTTACAGTACAATGCTGATTGTATTTACCCCCTACCTTTCCACTTGTGACCTTGAAACCATATTGGTTATTGACTGTTTCACCAACCACTAGTGTGATTAGTGTCTCTCAAGGCCATTTAAAGTATATATATATACCCAATTTCTGCCAACGGTTTTGCTGTTGATTGGAAACAGTTAAGACTCTATACGTCGATGGGCTGTCTTCTTTCATCCCATGTTCGATAGTATCCTATCGTGTTGTTGCTAATATTGATTAGAGCGGTAAGCTCGCGAATCGACTAGGTGGGAAGTTCGTTGACGCGTAGTACCAAATGTATCAACGGTTGTAACAATCAT